CGCATCCGTCCCATCGGTAGAGGTCTCCCTCAACAGTACAATCATAGCAACAGTACAATCATGGAAGTCGTATGCCCCTTGGCAGGGGGGGAGGGGGGTAAAAGTTACTTTGCGTGGAAAGTTTAACGTTCCTGAATAAAGAAAAATGTAGAATGGTACTTAGTATCATATGTATATACATGTATAGCATACGTTAATTTTAAAACTATGATTGTTAATAACTTTTTAACGAAAGATGAGCGACGGCTAAAACTTGTTAAAGGTCACTCAGGTGTCATGACCATGACAACACATGTCAAGGTCAAGGTCATAACGCTGGCCTCCCTTTTTTTATGCACTTTTACCAAAATTATTTTTAATCAGTATACCTTCATGCTTTTATGGTAAATCACTTTGTCCATGGCAAGCAATTCGGCTTGCCGTTCCTTTATCTTGGTCTGGATATTATCCAAGTGTACCGATGGTTTCTGCGTGAATGTCTGAAAGACATTAATTTTATAAAAAAAGCATAGAATGTTGTATGCACTTTGTACTATTTATTTATAAAGACACTAAAAAAATATATGTATACTTATATTAATTGAAAAAAACTCAATTGAGAAGCCGAAACATATTATATATATATATATATATATATATATATAGAGCTCTTTGTCCTATTTTTATTAAGAGTACAAATTAGTCCGTTTTCCAAAAGATGATCGCCTCCAAAGACAAGTCGTTTTTTCGAGATGGAATTCGAAAAGTGCCTGAGAGATGGGAAGAAATAGTAGCCAGCGATAGACAATACTTTAATTAATCTGTTCATTCATTTTATTTCAAAATAAATGCATGTTTGAACACAAAAAACGGACCGAACTAATTTGTACACCTATAATATTTATACTGTTTCATACATACAGAGTCTTATAATTACTTTTATTCTATATTATATATTGATTTTGTATTCTTAAATATATAATTTAATATATTTGATTAGTCTCTTTGATTTTTTATACTCATGATTGTTTAGCTGACTTTTTGTATTGTTTTTAATAAAAATTATTTAAAAAATTTATTTATACTTACACCAGGACAACAAACAACAACAGGAAAATCCTTGAAAGGGTTCGCTCCTCTTCCAGGATGTCTGTATCCAGAACCTGAATTTTCAGTTTCTCTGGAGTCAAAGATTATTAGTACTGCTAGTATATCGTACTTTCGCTGAAAACTCTGTATCCTAAAAAAATATCTATTAATATTCTATGCAAGTAACAAAACAATATTTGCATCTTACTTATGATAGTAATCTATACTCTGCTTGCTCATAATACTTCTCATTTCTCCTGGATTAGCTTGTTGGCTTAAAGTAGTATGGAAATACAGGGAACACTTGGCTAATATGGCACCACGAAGCTTCATCAGCCATTGATACAATGCTGGTTGTTGATTTGCCTTGAGAAACGTCGCACCAAAACCTAATTTCCAGGACTAAAAATATCTTAAATTAGAGAATACTTGATAAGAATCAGATTTAAAAAGTCTTAAATTAAGATATTGTATCAAACTAAATACCGATGAGAATAAGCCATTTACGGTCAAGCTGGATCTTGGATGCTTCTAATATAATTTCGTGAGAATTTATATATTACGTATGTATTATAGATCCTTAAGGTAAATGTGTAGATGAGGGGACCACCCTCCAATGACTTTGACCTTGACATATGTTGTCAAGGTCATGACTCTGAGTAACCTCCAACAGGTTTTAGCCGTCGCTCGTCCTTCGTTAAAAAGTTATTAATGATCATAGTTTTAAAATAAACGTATTATTTCTGCTATATATGTATGATGTTAAGTACTATTCTATCTACATCTTTGCCTGTTCAGAAACGTTGAACTTTCCACGCGAAGTAACTTTCACCCCCCTCCCCCCCCGCACAGGGGCACACGACTTCTACGATTGTACTATTGCTGTGATTGTACTGTTGGAGCAAACCTCCACCGACGGGATGGAAGCGGGAGGGGGGGCCGTAGGCCACCGTTGCCCCCCTCCCCCCCCCCGTGTGTGTGTGGTGTGTATGTGTGTGTGTACGCGCGCGCGTGTGTAAACATCATAATGTCTTATTTCTGCTATATTTGTATAAAACACACCATCGATATATAGTATGGACTGCGCGATCCATTCATAAATCCCCTCGAAAAGTGTCCGGTGAATTAGACAAAGAGGAAACGCGGTGTGGGTCAATCGCTCGCTCTTTCTAATACTCCTATTGATTACTTTTATTACCGCCCAGTGGATATCGCTAGACGGTAGAAAGAGACAGAGCTATTAGAAAAAGACAAAGCTTGACCCATACCGGTCGCTATCTCTTTCTTTCGGGCCGGTCATATTCTTTCAGCCTGTGCGCAGTCCATACTATGTCGATGAAACACACACACACACGGGGGGGGGGGGGCAAGGGCCTATGGCCCCCCCTCCCGCTCCTACCCCGTCGGTGAAGGTTTGCCCCAACAGTACAATCGTAGAAGTCGTGTGCCCCTGTGCAGGGGGAGGAGGCAGAAGTCGATTCGCGTAAAAAGTTTAACGTTTCTGAACGGGGAAAGGTGTAGAATAGTACTTAATATCATGTATAGCAGAAATAATACGTTTATTTTAAACTGTGATTGCTAATAACTTTTTAATGAAGGACGAGCGAGGGCTAAAACCTGTTGGAGGGTCATGACGTCAAGGTCAAAGTTATTGGCGGGGGGTCATCTACACATTTACCGATTTACCAAATTGACTAACAATCTAACAATTTTTTATGCTCATTGCATCTTAAATTTTAATATGTTGAATGGTATTAAAATCTATGAATGACATATTAAAAATTTGTAAATAATTACATTGCGAAAAATATTACTTCGGCCGGGAGTCGAACCTAGAGATCCTATATGGAGAGCACGGAGTAATAAGAAGGAGATCAAGCTCAAGCGGTCGACCACGAAAAAGATGGGCTCGAAACACGATGTCGGAAAAACGCTGTATAGAAGAACTGATCCGAGCGCACCTGTCGGAAAAAACATCGCAACACATCGAAATGTAGTAGGTTAGAGAAAGCAAAATATATGTCACGTGACAGTCAATACTTCCAACTTTTCCCACGATGGCGCTAAAATCACATCTTCTTGATTTTTCATGGGGTTTTCCGAAACCGTGTTTCGAGCCCATATTTATTCTCGAGCTTGATCTCCTTCTTATTACTCCGTGATGGAGAGATAGGCCAATGCCGACTGATCCGTGATTGGCTCTGCCATGATGTTATGAAACCGGATGTGAGAGTGAATGAAGCGTGTAACGATGCCCCTCTAAATGGCATCGTCGCTATTGTACATGTCAAATAAGGCTATATGTCGGGAATAATTCACAGGGACAGCAGCTGCCGAAACCGCCAGTCTCGCCGGAAAATGCCGACCGTCGTCGAGGACCGCCGATCGGAAATCTTCTCCCACGAGAAGCCGATCGGCGGAAAATATCGAGACCGATCGGAGTATGACGAGCGAGACTGACGGTCTAGTATAAAATACCGCGTCAACTACGCGGCGCGGCCTTTTTGCCTTTACCAGTCCGATCCAGAACACTTTCCGAAATCACCAGCTCCTAGTCAGTGCTCCGAGACCGCCTTCCGCGACCTGCTCGTTCCGACGAACCTAGGGGGTAGGGCGTACCCTGCCTCTGCCGGGCGTTATCGGCCGTCGGACGAACCGTCAACGATCCGATCTCTAGGCACGCACCGCGTTGTTCCGACGAACCTAGGGGGTAGGACGTACCCTGCCTCTGTCGGGCGTTCTCGGCCGCCGGACAACCGCTGCAGTTATTCCTACAAACTTCCGCACACTCTTCTTTCCCTATCCCGAATATTCCGTCCCGATAACCAGCATTCGAAAGGGGGTAGGGCGCTCTTTGCCTCTGTCGGGTGTTCTCGGCCGCTGATTATCGGATCCTTTTCCTTATTATTCGCAACCATCTTCGAAAATACGCGTCGCGCCGAGTTTCCTTTGCTGGCGTATACCCGCGTTCTACCGCGTCGCAGATTACCGCCTCGCATGGCCCGCGTAGTGAATCACCGGTCCGCCGAAAGAAAAACTAAGTGACGTCAGCAAGACCGCCTCGCGCGAATCTTAGATACCGCCGAACGCCGACCTCGCACGTCCTAGAGACCCTCTAATCAGAGTCGCGAAATAACGTCAATAAGGTTAGGTCGGCGATACCATTTTTCAGCAAAAACCGGAAGTAGCGATTATAGTTGATTATAGTACATTGTGTAACAGTAAGGGAAAGTTGTTTATTGTGGGGACGGGCGCGACGGCACGAGCGAAGCGAGTGCGTACGCGCGCCCGTGTCGACCTATAAACAAATATGCCCCCACTGTTACATATAGAATTTTTCTTTGTGTAGGGCACATTACGTGCACGCATGAAGAAAAATATAATACTACTGCACGTACGAGCACCATCGCAGTTGCAATAAAAATACTATGATTGTGATACATTAACACCTAATACATGTGAATCTAAATACAGTTATCAGAAAGAAATTACATTATTATATTTTTTATATTAATACTGTATTTCATAAAATTATATTTTTTAGAATGACTAGTTGTTCTGCGCCAGACTGCAATAATTCTTTAAAAAAGGGTTATATTATGAAAGTCTTTCCTCGTAATCCTGAAAAAGAGCAAAATAGGCAGCGAATGTAGGTCGACTTAAATTTGACGCCATGACTATTTCCGGTTTTTGCTGAAAAATGTCAGCACCAATCAAAATTGGAACCGTTATTTCGCGACTCTGATTAGAGAGTCTCTAGCACGTCCCGGTACCTGCTGACACCTCGCGACCGTCTGTAAATACTTCGCGCGTTTAAAATAATAAACATCATTGTATCGTCCGCGTCCGTTCATTATTTCGTCCGTACTACTGTTATTCGCGTTTCGTTTCTTGTATTATAACGTTTCTTCTGCTTTCATTTTATATTATATTTCTGTGTTACTTTATTTTCGCTTTTATTAATAATAAACTGTGTTCGTTTCTCAACTCTTACTTTTATATCATTTCTTCTGCTATTTTCCGTATCTCCGATCCGACGCAAATACTCCTCCTGCCGAACCTTTTTTATACATCTCGCATACCTTGTCACGATGAGCTAGTCCGAGTATAAAAATCAGGTCGTTACAAGCGAATGTGAGAGTGAGAAAAGCGTCGTCTGCTTATGATTATAAGAAGTATTGTCAGAGACAAAAATTAACTTAGACGAGTCTCTTTTAAGCCTTGTGTCCACGCTGCTAGAAATCGGTCCAAGATCTCGGATGAAGAAAGAATTAACAAATCGCATTTGAACAATTTGGTCACATGACCAATGTAATTGGTTAATTTTTCCTTCATTTGAGATCTTGGACCAATTTCTAGTATCGTGGACACAAGGCTTTACAGTAAGTTTAAAATCATCAAAAATGTATTACTAGAACTTTTGGAAAAAAATACATATATAAATATACATAAAAATTCATTTATAAATACATACATACATTTTATATATAAATTAACCTAAAATTGTTTTCTTTTTTTTCAAATAATTGAAGAAATAAAGGACTCTTTTTATAAACAATAATTAATACGTTGAGAATGGCGAATAAGAGTCAATCTAAATCTGATAATATATTCTAATATTCTATATTGCGAAGAATATCACGTAATGTTTGGCGTTTCAAATACCTTACTGATGAGTCCAGTAGTGGAAGCCGGGACGAAACGCCAAACATTACGTGATATTCTTCGCAATATAGAATATTAGAATATATTATCAGATTTAGATTGACTCTTATTCGCCATTCTCAACGTATTAATTATTTTTTTTTTTCATTCTGGCAATTCAATTAACTTTTTTCCAACAATCTGCACAAACTCGAGATCGTATGATTTATCAAGTCTTGTTAACTCACATTAAATATGAGGTTAGAAATGTGTGTTATTATGCGATAAGTTTTTACCAAATAAATAAGTAGTAAAGTCATTGTTTAAATATAAAATATTCATATCACTTCAGATTTTGTATCACTGTGTGTAAATGGAAAACAACTTTTTTATTCGAATTTAATACGTTTTGCACGTTTTTGTCTATTTTGTCTGTTTTATCCACAATTCTATATTTACGAAAAATAAACTTTCTCTAATAATTATTCATTACAACTTTGAGTTAATAACGTTATAATAAACAAGTAGTGTTATGTGATGTTTCAAAATTGGCGTTGATATGTTGGCGCGCATTTCCAAGATTATGTGATTTCCGATTTCACAACATCATGCTGGACATTGGCCCATCTCTCCATATAGGATCTCTAGTCGAACCCGGATCGCCTGCTTTATGCGTAAGTGTCCTAGCTAATTTATTACCTTGATAATATTAATATTATTCGCCTTGATAATATTAATATTATTCGCAATAATCATAT